GAGGCAGCAGGAGCCTGTGCTGTGGGAACTGTCTTAAAAGCCAGTTCTCCTTAGCACCATCCCCATGAAGGGGAGAGCAGAGGAGGCAGAGCTGCAGTGGGTTTAGCAAGTGCCCCTCTTTTATTTACTAATCGAGTAGTCAATGGAAAGTACATCAACTACTTGATTAGCTGATTATCCACAATTTAACTTCCCTACTGGAAAGAACATCCCTACTGGAAAGTAACCTTGGATAAGCCCCCAATTTTTCAAATCTCTATCCAAAAGATTTTGGAACTATGCAGTCCAAGAATTATTTATAATCTAAAATTAGAGCATTAACTTATTGGCACTAGTTCAAAAAACCAACTGAAAACAAAAAATTATAAACTTCACATGCTTTTATCAGAAAATAGCTTTTCATTTAAATCTAAAATTTTCTGTGGGAAAAGAGACATGTAGTCCAGTTATGAAGCTGAGAGCAGAGGAGAGACCAGGAGAATGGGAGAGCCAGAATTATAAGTCCTGTGACAGTATAATCAATTACGAAGATACAGCAACTAATAGCCAATCTGAAAAGTTTTCATATTTCTGAATTAAACTTTTTTCCAGCACACTTTGTTTCATAAATAGTTTTGATGTTGACTTCTGGGATGGAGACTAAATAACAATCAGCTCTACTATTTTCATGGTGAAAATGTGATCTTCCTTATTAATACTGATGGTCAAACACATAATTGTAATGTCTCAACTAGAGCTTTCAATTAATTGCTGTTATCTGAAGTGTTTAATACAAAATATATTAACTAGGTTAAAAATTAGTTATGATTAAAGTTTTAATGCTCTGTTACATTGGAATAATTATTCTGTTATGTATTATAAATATTATTGGATATTTTTGTACTTTTCAAGTAGATTGATTTCAGTTACCACCGAATACAAATGTACAGTGCTCCTTTTATATTTTTATTATAAATATTTACATGGGTTAAAAGATAAAATAATATGAAATGAATTGAAAAATACAAGTACTGTAGAGCAGTCTCTATTATAAAAGTGTAGTATACAAACATAGAACTGTTTTGCTTAACTGCGCTCAAAACCAATGTGTTTAATTTTAGAGCCTACTCAAGCACTCTTCCCTCCCAACAGCAAAAATATTGAAATAAATGATCTATTATTGTTTAATTGTGTGATTAAAACTGATTAATCATGGCTATTTTTAATGTTGTGATTAATTGCAATTAATCTTTTTAATTGTTTGACAGCAAAACTCAATGTAAGGATAGGTAAATGTGTTTTTTGGAAAACCAATGAGTAGAAACATTTCTTGAAAGGGAAAACTATTAAGACAGTACCATCTCACGTGAATGCAAGAAGTTAGAGTTGAATATAATATAAACAGGAGAAAATAAACATTTAAAAAAAATTAAACTGAAGGCATAATTTCCTCAACTTTTTGATTTAGCTTGTAGTTTTAGCTCATATCATTGTAATACCTATTCAAAATTGCAATGCTTATATGAACCTTTCAGTTTGTGGTATTAATGTTGGCCTAGAAGAACTGTGTTAGAGCTAATATTTTTGTTTGAAAAGGCCACCTAAAATGCCTAGAATCTGATATTAACTTCCATGGAAAAAATAATAATGAAAACGTACTACCTCAAAGAGTAATTATTTGGTCAATGCGAAATATTACAGAAGAGAAACAAAATTGTTGAACTTTTAGCAATTTGGCCTGTATTTCTGTTGAGATTTTTGTAAATTTACTGGTTAAGGTTCAAAAGTTTAAATCAAAACAAAAATCTCTTTTTGTAGCAAAGTGCCTTTTTTGCCAGAATTGATTTTGAAGTAATTTTTAGAGGATGAAGACAGTTTACGTGCTGTCTTTTTCCATCAGCACTTCATGTGGCTATCTACTCAAGTTTATATGGAATTGACAAAAACATAATTTTGAACAGACAGAATTTTTGATTAGCTAGCTAGTTTGCTTCAGTGTCGAACTTCTGGGTATATTTTTTTTCCCCTGCGTATACAAAGGAATGCCTAATATCCTCCGCTGATGGGCTGACAGCCACAGCAGGCCTGGGGACAAGGGATTGGGGGCCAGGTCTGTGCTCCCAGAATGGTAGAGCTGAGGGCAGTCAGCCTTTAGCAGTGCCTGCAGCATGGTGCTGCACCCCTCCTAGAACCTCTCCTCAGGACTCTGAGGGCATTCTCACAACAAATCAAAGGGACCAAGGGCTCTGGCTGCTGCTATAATAACAGTGGCCAAGGCTGGGAGCTCTGAGGCCCTTTGAAATGCCCAGCCCCTATACAGTTGCCCCCTTTAATTCCCCTCAGCCCCATTGGTGGGCCTGATAACATCCTAATATTTTGTTATATTCATAGAACATAGTAGCTGTCTTCTGGATTATGTTTGTTTTCTTGGTTCTTTGAATTTATTTTTTGTCCTTGGGGCTCACTTTGAATGAAGATTATAGGGTAAAGAGAAATTTTCTTTCTTGCTTTCTTTGTTGAGTGACCTGAATCAGATCTTGTTTTGTTAGGATATCAAAATATATTCCTGTTTAAATAGAAGCTAGCTATAAGCTAAATTTAATCATTGGCTCTGTGTTAGTCTTGTTGTGTAGTCTGTGCTGTCACTTAGCATATAACTTTGGAATAGTTTAAACTTTCATCATGTATTTTACATTGATGGTAAACAGCTCTTTCTCCCATAAAGCTTTTC